TCTCTTTCTGTGACCTCTGCTATTCCACAGCAGTTGGACCCAAGATGCTGGTCGACATATTTGACAAGAACAAATCAGTTCCATTCTTTGCATGTGCTCTGCAGTTCTTGACCTTCTGTATCTTTGCTGATTCTGAATGTCTGTTGCTGGCAGTGATGGCCTTTGATAGGTATAAAGCCATCAGCAACCCATTGCGATATGCAGTAGACATGTCCACTAAGGTGTATTCACTGCTCATGGCTGGCGTTTACCTTGTAGGCCTGACAGATACTTTGATACACACAACATTAACATTCCGCTTATGTTTCTGTGGGTCTAAGGAGATTAATCATTTCTTCTGTGATTTACCTGCACTTTTCCTCCTTTCCTGTTCTGATATACAAATCAATGAGCTGGTACTGTTCACCATTTTTGGATTCATTGAACTGAGTACCATTTCCATAGTCCTTGTCTCTTATGGCTACATCATCTCATCAGTCTTAAAGATCCGCTCTGCGGAGGGGAGGCTCAAAGCTTTCTCCACCTGTACCTCCCACTTAACTGTAGTTATAATTCTCCAGGGCACTTTGCTCTTCATGAATTTCCGACCGAGTTCTGCCTACTCTCTAGATGAAGACAAAATGACCTCACTGTTCTACACCCTTGTGACTCCCATGCTGAATCCTCTGATTTATAGCCTACAGAACAAAGATGTGAAAGTGAGCATGAAAAAACTGAAAAATAAAGTTTTATTCTAATTAATTTCCTACAAATACATATTATAAAATAAATTCATGATCATGTTGTTCTCTTCAAAACACATATTATAATATTAAGTCATCACTAGTATCTTAACATAATTTTGATTTTATTGAATTTTCACATGCCAAATATTTTAGATGATTCAACATTCTATGCTTCACTATTTGTCTTCAATTTAAATGTGATACTCTAGTTTTGGAAAACTCTTCATTTTGTATCTCAGTGTAGTAAAGTGTCATTCATTTTTGTGTAGATTTATTCATTCAATTATCTTAAAAGTTCTTGGTTTTTTAGTGTGGGCCTTTTGCATTAGTGTGTGCCGTGATTTTCCTAGCAAAATAATTTCAATGTAAGTAAGCTATATTTTTATGGGAAATTAGAAACAGTAATTAATTTAACTTAAAAGTAAATCACATTGAATTTTAGCACACCATGAACTCAAAAAGCTAGATATTCTATTTAAAAGCAAGTTTCTAAATATAGACTTCAGTGAAGAAAAGATTTCTTGTAATGGAGGTTTTTAGTTTTAGATTAATGCAATGAGTAGAGATACAGTGGAAGTTGGTTGGGAGAATAAAGAATTCCAGATAGAGATGGGAATTAGAGATCCAGAAATGGGCAAGAAAATGTCTGTAGATAAAATAAAGTGCAAATATAGGGAATATGGAGCCAAGTGCTTTTGATTAGCATTCCAGTAATGATAGTTGAAGTTGAAATTTTATAATATGCTTGGTAATTTGTATGTCTTCTTTAAATAAATATCTACTTAATCTTCTCTAAAACTTTTTATTCAAGTTCTTGTTTGTTTTCATTTTTTTTTCTACTGAGTTGATTGAGTACCAAGGGAGAAATAAATTTGGTATTCTACTGAGCTTAGTATTAATGAAGTCTCTCCCTGAGAAACAGAGAGCTGCTTCTCCACTTTCTTCCCTCCCCCTGCCAGCTATTACGATGGAGCCCAATTGCAACACCTTCTCTTATCTTTGGAAAGTAAATGACTCTTTGAATCTCCCTGGCCCAATGTCAGAGAACTTGGTAAAACTTTTGGTCTTCCTTATCACAGTTTGCATTTGCAAACACACTTCCCACTTGAAAAATTTTACAAATTATTATACACCTTTACAATACTACACAGTCCATAAATGTTGTGAAAAGCTAATAAAGGGGCGTTCAGCTTCTGGAGTGCTGATCTCTTTCAGGCCCATGGACAAGTAAGGGAGAGCAACAGGAAATGGGAAACTTAACTATTTAAACTTTTTTACAGAGATTTTTTTTTTTTTTTTTTTTTTTTTTTTTTTTTTGCTGATGGTCTTATAGTGTGAATTTCTGGAAATGTTTAGTTAAGATTTTCTGTGGAGGACAAGGTACCACTACAAATTAACAATACAATGAAATGAAAAAAAGAATTGTAAATGAAGGACATAAATGAAGTCAACCTTGTAATGAAATTCTCAACTCTGTCACTTCCACTCAGCTTGTCTTGCATTCTTCCCATTATCAGTTCTGGTTAAGTGGGTACCTTTGTGATTCACAAATAATACTCATCTGAAGGCATTATTCTTTCAATTGTTCAGTTTAATAAATCATCAACTTCAATGAGAAACTGTGGCATTCTTTGCTGAAGAAAGCATGTCTTATGCTTTTGATTCTTTCACAATATTGGGACTGAGAAACAAAATGGAAAAATCAATAAATAACAAAAATCAATCCATAGAGTAACATTTGTGTGTGTGTATGTGTGTGTGTGTGTGTGTGTGTGTGTGTGTGTGTTACTGGGGATTGAACCCAGGGCCTTATGCATATGAGGCAAGCACTCTACCAACTGAGCTATATCCATAGAATAACATTTTAATGCTCATTAGATATAAAATTATAGTGAATTGAGGAAATGCAATGTATTTGGAATGTTTTACAGCTTTCAAAAACATATAAAATGGTTGTATATTCTAAGTGAATAAACAAAAGTGTGCAAATTAAGTGAAAGCATTCCTCCAAGTAATTAGAAGACAACTCAGCTGCTGCATCTGGCTCTGCTCAAGTTTAT